TATATATATATTACGGTTTCAAAATGTTTGCAAAAGGTTTTAATTCCCGGGATCCATGTGAGTAGAGAATGCAGCACTGTTCCTTGCAGCCGAGGAAGAGGTCCTCTCTTATCGGGCAATGCTTGATCATTATGGGTCTCACACCATGTGGTTGTGAACCCATGTGGTTGGGCTGAACCCATGTGGTTGTTGTGTAGATCAATGTTTGGGTCTCACACCATACAAGGATACCCAACTGGGCAGTAGTTTGGAGGCTGAATGAGCACATGGACTTAATGGGCCTAAAGCCCAAATTAAACTGGTTTAATTTGATTAATTAAAGAGGGGCGGTTCTGGGATTCAGATCAGCAGATAGGATAGGGAGTTATCCCTATCCACTCAGAGAGTCCAGATCCAAATAAAGATTTGGATTAGGAAACTCGTAATAAGATTAGGAGGGCTGATTTTTATCTGTAGATAAGATAAGGGTTTATCCTTATCTCTTAAAGAGAGTCCAGATCCAAATAAGATTTGGATTAGGAAACTCCTAATGGGATTAGGAGAAGCTCTCTTTAAGGCTATAAATAGAGGAGGGTGAACCCTAGTTCATCCAACAAGATTACAGATTCAAGAGAGAAGACAGCTCCAGTTAGACTGACGCCATTTTCTGCTCTTACCTCCCTCTATTGCTGCCGTCATAGCCAGTTCGTTCTCCACCAGTAGGAGCGATCAAGAAACGTTCTTGATATCAGTTTGTGGTGAAAAACTGATCTGAAGTCATGCTCACTCACCCTCCATCGAATTCTTGCTGAAGAACTCGATTCTTGCTGAAGAACCACGTGCTGATTCTGCTCCACCCTACGTTGTGTCATCTTCAATGGGAGCAGTCTTTGGCATTTTTCCTTGGACGTGAACACCTTCGTTGGGAGTTACTGCTACTCCGTATCAGGTACATCCCTCTCCTACCTTTGGTTTTAGATCTGGTCCGGTTTAGGGTTCAAGATTGATCCTTGAAAATGCAGTTTTCTAAAACAGGGAATGTGATTCCCATATGAGAGAGAAATTTTTTAAATTTCGCCCTACCTACCTGTAGGGTTCGACTATCCATATGATGGATCTCTCATCCCTTCATAGCTGTCTCACCCTTGGGTTCTTTCACCCTTCCACTTATGTAACCAGCTTTACCCCTTGTCGTTACATAGAGTTTTACGCTTTTAGCCCACTCCAGGTAGTTCAGACCATTTAAAGGGGTAATTGGCATGGGAAACATCATGTTTTCACCTCCCATACCAGTTGTGCTATGGATATGTGTAACCCCCGATGAAGCTGATTCATAATTTGTCATAGGACACTGCTGAAAACAATCCAAACACCACACAACTACACAACAACCACAAGCAGAATACCAACCCTCAAGGAATTTACTTCTAGGATGTGAGGAAGAGAACAAGACACTGCTGAAATCAACTCTGAGATGGTTCAATCATTAAACCAGCCCGGTAATCAGTCCAACACAGCCAAGGCAGACATTACTATCAGTCTTACTACAGCTCATACAGTCTAACAGTCCAGTATCCAAACAATAATATAGAACCAAGGAATAAGCCCTTCACACCATTGGCCAAATAAGACAAAAACAAGAACACACCTGTCCAGCACCTGTACGAAGGTGCCAACTTGAAATCGACTTCACAGCATCGAGCAGAGAAGGAAGAGAGTCTCTATCAGCATCGCCCTTCTCCGACTAGGGTTTCCTTGATATTACGACCAAGGAAAAAACCACAGGAGGTGCCGCCAGTAATCTGCTAGGGTTTCTCTGTCTTCCACGTCCAAGAATTTAAAGAAGGAAAAAAAAGGCGAAGCAGGTTCAAAACAGGAGGGATCGAAGGTCTTTTACAGCCCAAAAAACCTTGCTCTGATACCATGTAATCATTCATGGAGAGTGGGAGACGAGAGAGAGAGAGAGAGAGAAAGAGAAGAAAAGGGACGATTGAGAGGAAAAGAAAACTCACTACTGGCTGCCGCCAGTTCTCTATTTATATTAACTTAATAAAAAGAATAGAAATTACAAGTATGCCCCTGGCGGCACACCCTAGAACCAAATTAATAAGGAAAAAAGAAAAGTAACTAATTGAGAGTATCTTAAGAAGTCAGCCTACTAACAACAACTACAAAGTAACAATTAAATAAGCCTTACAACAATTTTCTTTTGCCAACCAATGGTTCTCTAAGATGATGTTCTGTAGCTAAGGACTCGGGGCTCCTGCAACTTTAATGAATCCCCTCAAGTTAATATTCTTCAGACATCTATTACCTTCTTACATCCTTATCCTCCACCTAATCTATTGTTTTCCCAATATCCCTTTCAAAATAATTTTTAGTGCACCTTTGCAGTTTGCTTTTCTAAAGCATTTCCCAATCAAAGCACACATTTGAAGGCATATGCACTTCAACGTTATTATACTGTATAGTGGAGGAAGATTGACACAGGATACAAAGGAGCCAGTATTATTTTTCATTTAAAACCAAAGAGAAAATTATTTCAGCTCTATCACTCAACTGATCAACTCATGTCCTGAAGAGTCAAAACTTGCCCATTTGACTTGATTTTGGTGTCATTAGATAGAATATTTAGCTATTAAACAAGACCAAGATTGCACATTCCAGACAGCAAATGAGCCAAATCGGCCAATTGCACCAAGTATGGCCAATTCACAGACAGCCATGGAGTCTCTTAAAGAATTGTTATAAAACTCAGATCTGAACCAGAATTAGTTTGTTAATAATAGAGAAGAAAGACATTTTACCCCTCCTTTTTGGTTGTATCTTATTTATCTCTTTTAATAAAAGTGTTGTTATTGATCCAAAAAAAAATAATAATAGAGAAGAAAGAGAGAAGAGAGAAGAAGAGAAGAAGAGGGGAGAAGAAAAGAGAATAAGGAGAAAAGGGCAGTTCGAACTAGAGAGCAAAGTCAACTCTCTCTAGTCGGCCAGGTTATATTTATAGTTTTCTATAATATAAGCAAAATGACTGTTGTGCCCCTACTTAAGTATGGGACACATCACTTAACTTAAACATTACACCTCACACCAAAATATAAATAAAAAGACCAAACTGCCCCTATACAGTTGACACTAACAAATTGTTTTTATATTTGAATTTTAATTAGAGATATGGTAGTTTTAGGATTTATTTTTTGATAGGTGTCAATTTTAAAAGTCGTTATCTTATTGGAAATTTGAGTCTAACTTATAATGGGTCAAAAAGTCAATTTTAAAAGATTTTTTAAGATATAGTAGTTTTGAAGTCGGGAAAATCTATGCTGCCGGAAAAACATGATATAGGAAGGCTTTAACCAATCAACCCACCCCCAGTGGATTCTGATAAATAACACCTGGTGAGTTACCACTTTTTATTATACCGGTTCATTGATTACATGTTTTTCCGGTATCATAGTCAAACTTCCAACTATGAGCTGGGGAATGATTAAGTCTTTAAATTAGGAAAAATAAGTTACAGAAGGTTCATAAATTGTTACAAATGAGGGTGATAAGATCGAAAACAAAACTTTGCCTTATAGTTTCTTCCTTTGGGGTATGATGCTCAAGAACTTTTCTTCTTTGGTATGACTCCATTAAGGCATGGTATCGAGTTTGCAATGGTTACATACTTGACTCTTTTTCCTTCATTATTCTATTTGTGATAATTTTTAATCATTCCTAGGCCACACCCTACATCAAAGATTATGTGTAATCAAGATCAATTCAAACACCCAAAAAAATCAAGATCAGTTGTATTTTCTGTGACATGATTCTGTGTTTTTTTATTGGTCTGTGAGTCTGTGACTTGATTCATTATTCACATCCGACAGTTAATAAGGCTGGGTTTGAATCAGAGCAGAAATGGAAACTGAATGCAGGTGGAGGCCAACTCTGCTAGTGTTACAATTAAACATAAAACCACATATTTTACAATTTTGGAATCCAGGGGGTCATTTGAAATTTATGCAATTCGATTAGGAGTGAAATTCAGTTCCATTCCACTCCCCTGATCCAAATACAGCCTTAACAAAACGGAAATCATATGAGTTATAATGAAGGAAGAGAAAAGGACAAAACTTTACCACGGTGGTCCTATTTGCTTCATCCATTAAGGATGCGCCTGCAAGCATTTCTTTAATATCTATTCCCTGGAATAACAATATTTACAATATTTTAAGAATAAGAATAGGTGTTGAGACTTGACAATTAAATTTACCAAGCACCAATTAGTTTAACAAAGGCATGCCTGGAGTGCTGCAGGAAGTAAACCAACTGCAGACATTTCAGATGTTCTACCTCCCACCCAATCAAACATTGGAAATCTTGCTAACCAACCTTCAATCCTTGCTGTATTATCTAACAAAGAATTTTCTTGTGTAATAGCAACACCCTGCACATAGATCCATTGTAACAAAAATATTAAATTTCTGCAATCTTAAAAGCATGAAAAGGAGAAGTTCAAATACAACAAAATTATATTTCAGTGGGTTAGTTCCAAGGGTGTGCAGTTAACAGACTACATTTTGAATACATCAATGAGGTTGTAATTCTCCCTGTTTATGAAACTTCAACTTAGGGCCAACATGAGAGTGGTTCACGAATCATGGGAGGTGTTAGGCACAAGACAAGTTGTCCACAAGATGCCTCTACTACACAATAAAGTTGCAAATTGCATATTTGGTACACGCCCCTTTTGAAAATAATAGTTACCTTTTCTCAAAAAAGGAAAAAAAAAGATCCTGGAAGCATGATGTATGGTGAGCACTTTCTAATCACAATTTGGATTTCCACTTTGTTAACGGAGAACAATTTGTAAGCCAAGAAGTACAAAATAATAAAATTAAAACTAAAAGAAAAAATAAGAGTTAAACCTGTTTTGAGAAATCAAGGCCAGCCTCACGAAATGCCTTCTGTACTTCCAACAGACCATTTCGAGTTTCAGGGGTACCTCCACTCTGAGTAAATATCAAATGCAACTTAACATAAGATATGCATGCAAGAATGGCATACAAAGCAAAACACTCTGCTCATGTAATTGCTAGAAAACTGAAAACCCTTGAGGGACCGTCTGCCCCTTCAGTGAAAGATATACCTGTTTGAGTTTTAATGAATTATATTTTCACCAAAAACAAATAAATACTGCTAAACTTTGAAAATATCCATGCAACTTACCTTGGAAATCACTATAACAAGTGTTGAAGCCAATTCAGATCCAAGCTGTGCAATTTGGTGATCAATTCCACCCGGATCTGTGTTATCAATGAATCGTATCTGCCCCAAGAACAATAAATAAATAAATAGATAAATTGAAGCTGCCTGCACCACCAAAAATATTAAAGCAGATAGGAAAATCTTGAGCTAGAAAACTCTAACAAAATTGATTCTTAATCAACAAGACATTGAGGGAATTATCCATCAATGAAACAAAGCTCATTGTTTAGATCTTAATCTAAACCTAGATTGTCAATCAGCAAACTTACAGAACCACTAAGGACTCAGTTGAATAAACATTCTAACTGTTGGTCAAGAGAACCTAGTTGTTGTCCATATACAGAATATGCAATGATCAAAAAGGAATTAAGGGAAAAATAATAAGGTGAAAGACTAATAATAAATAACCTAATAACAAGAGAGAATGACCAAAAGTAAAGTGAAACCTGGTGCAAACTTTAGAAAAGAACAACTACCCTCCACTCTATCACCCCTGCTAACCCACCAACTAGATTTTATAGCAACAATCAAAGAGAGACAATAGCAGATTAAAAACTTTACAAAGTAATCTTCTTCTGTTTTATTTCTTATATGTACTCAAAGTGCTTGCTAGGCAGGAGGGAAGGACCAAAAACAAGAACAATGCAAAACAGAAGTTTTACCACTTCACATTGGATCCAGTTATTTAAAAGGCACACCTAGGCACACAAGCGAGGCACATTTTAAGATATGTGCCTCGCCTAGCCCCCAGGCAAAGCACTTTCAAAAGGCACATGCCTAGTGCGCCTAGGCGTGCGCATGGTGTGCCTTGCACTTCAGCCCAAGCACACACCTTTTGAAAGTTTGTGCCCTTTTTTTTTCTGTTATTTCTTATGCCTAGTGGCTCCGAAAACCCCATATTTGCTAATGTTACTCATTCATTCATCTTAATAAAAGATATTTTAAAAAAGAAAATTAAAGTTATAAAATCTTTTTTATAGGGATTAAGAATTTAAGACCCTAATATGGACTTGTTTGAGCTTGCCTCGAGGAGCTTGGTACAAAGGCGGTATGTAATTTGTATAAAACATCACATTAGCTATTTGAAGTAATGCAATTAAGAAAAGAGTAAAGAGAGTTTTACATGCTGGAATATGTTTTATATGTTATGCTTGATTTTATTTTTAAATTTTCATTTTAAATATGTTTTACTTTTACATGTTATGCTTACTTTCATATTTAATATTTTTAATTAATATTATGTTTTTTTTGTTTTTTTTATTTTTTGGCTTTTTGGATTTTTTTACATTTTTTTGCATTTTTGTGCCTTGCTTCGAAAAGGCTCATGCCTCAGGCGCAAAATGCTCCTTGCGCTTTTAAAACACTAATTGGATCACATTGAATGTCGGGGTTAGGGTATTCAGTTGGCGGAAAGATGTTACTTAAGTGGCTGAAGAGAATGTTTACATCTATGTTTTGGTTGTCCCTTCTCGAAGTTCATATGGGGATTCTTCTTTGGACTCTTCAAAACTAATATGGTGGAAACAAGGACCCCGGCAGACATTTTTGCTTGTTGGCCTATAATGAGAGGAAAAATCAAAGTGCAAATAGTGTGTGGAGCTGCATTTCTGTTGCCATTTGTTGGGAAATTATGAAAGAAAGAAATAAAAGAATTTTTGGAGACAAAGCTCAAGGAAGGGATCAGATCACTCCCTTATGTGGGAAAAGGATAATGGATTGGGTTCTTATTCTCCCAGATTTTGAAGGAATCTCAAAGGAAGATCTTGTCACTAACTTATAGTTTCTTATTGAATTGGAATCAAGTAGTGAGTTTTTTTTCTTGTTTGATGTACTTGAATTATGGCTTTACTGTAAGATTTTGGTGGTGATTCCTCGTCACCCTTACTAAATTCCTTTTATTAATAAAATTTTCTGTTTTATTTATTACCATAAAAAAGTTTTACCACTTCACTGATTTCTAACACCAGTTGCAGCTGATTGAAAAGACCAAAGAAAACACATACCTTTTTTTGACAAAGTAAGAAAAAACAAACCTTTCACTCAACTTACAAGTTGACAATATATCAAGTATCTAGGTTTTAAAGAGAAATGTTTGCAATTTAGAAATGAAATGTCACAAAATGAGCATAACCAGGATAAAAATAATCAAATAGATAAAAACTAAAAATACAAAAGGTTAAATAATAAACTTAGAAATCCAATGGTACCAGAAACGTCCCATTGTTTGAAAGCTCTGCAAAGTACACTAGTTGAGATAGTGAGAAATGAAAGAATGCCACACTGGAAAATCCCTAGATACAGTGGATGGCAGGACAGGTTCATGTAACCGACTCAGAATGATAGAGAAAAGACTCAGATGATGATCATGATCATGATCAATCACAAATCACAATGTCTATACTTTGTAAGATAGATAATTGAGACTATATATAGAAGAGGTCTAATATCAAATAAGAAAAAATCCATTCACTTGAGAAAGATACCTTTGACGAAGAAAAAGTACTATTTCTACAACAGTTCCACAAACTTATCTTAACAAGGAGGGTCAAAATTTTCACTTTGAATGGCAAACCGTGTCTTGTAACTTTGCAGGCATACCTTAAGAGGAGGATTATCTGGAGCCAAAGCCTCTGCAACAAACTGTGGTCCCAGAGCTGAACCTCCAATCCCCACAGAAAGTATTTGGGTAAAGCGGCCCGCTGGAGATGATGGAGGCTTAATCTGCAATAACTTAAAATGTTAAATATAGAATAATAGGAAACCAGAAGAAACAGGGAGAACTCTAACAAGTACCAAGTTTTTTTTTTTTTTTTGATAATTAACAAGTACCAAGAATTTTCACCATGCAGTATTGTTGCAGATGATAACAAATTGCACTTGACAACCACACTAAGAATGATTTATCACATACTTTGAACCTTATACACACATTTAGAGGTTCTAATTTCACTCAAAATCATATTCTAAAATGGCATGTGGGAGGAGGGTGATGATAAAAGAAACAGCAGTTTTGCCAATAAAACGTGCAATAACATAAATAAAGCGTAAATGTTAATTCCTACCTGCAAAACCCACTTGCTATAGCAGGCGACTGTATTTTGCATCTATTGCATAAAGCCGGTCACTATACAAGGGAACTAGGTGCCAAGAACTTTCAGCACCTGATCCTATACGTTGTACTCAAATTAAGAATGTCCTAATGTTTTTAAATCCCATCTGCTTGCTTCTTTGAGATTTTCTTTCCTAAGAGAGGGAGCGTTTGCAGTAAACCTCTTTGGACATTTGGGCTTCAGGTTTTGAAAAAAAAAAAACAATACAAAGAGAGGAATAAATAATCCATATATTATTTCCAATGTTATGATCCATAGACTATTTCAGTTGTTATTCTTTTTAGTCTTGTCAAGCATAATTCACAATAAAGCCAACCCTTGCATGAGGCTCGAACAAGCGAATTTGATCTTTCGTGGTTTCGCCTAAAGTTAGAGTATATAGAAAACCATTTTTGGTCAGCTACACTGCACAAGTGTTCAATACCATTCGCTTATCGAGGCGAAAGATAATCAGTCTTTTTCTGTAGCCTAGAAAACTTCCTTAGTCTACAAACGAAATAATGTCGAATAAATAACAAAAGGAAGAACAAAGAAGAAAAACCTGACCTTACCGCCGACAACATCATCGGCGAATTTGCAGATGGCGTCTAGCGTCTTATCAATCTGCAAGCGGAGAAACGGCGTAGGAGCAAGATGAGAGCTCCGAAGCCAGTAATGGCCAACCATTCGCCCCTCGTCAGGATTAGCAATTGCTCCCCTCTCTAGCTCCTCCATGGCCCTGAAAGAAGCTTGGAACCTCGGCTCCATCTCCTTGAAGAACTCGTCCGTAAATCCAATCCGACTCACATCAAGATACAACCCTAGTTCCTTGTGCTGGTAAAGCCACTCAACGTATCGATGCCACAGAGAGATTGGGTCCTTCTCCAATCCCTTACTCTCTTTAGGAACAACCTCCGAACTCGAGAAATTCGCTGGAGCTTCTCGAGCAACGGACTGAGTCGGCCTGAGATGAAGAAGCCGATCGCAAGGCCGGCTGACAAGTTTGGAACGGTTCGGACATGATGCAGAATCATTTCGAAGAAATCGTAGAGATGGAGAAAGAGAAGCTGATGCTGTAGTTGCTGTTCTTGTTGCTCTAGAGGTGATTCGTTCGGGTTTGAATGTCGACGAAGATGAAGTACAGACGCCCGAGACGGACGCCATCGGAGCTGCTCGGAGACGACGAAATGTGAACAAGATTTTTTTGGTAACTGGAAATAAGTCTCTTACATTAATTTGGAATTTCCCCCCTTTTTCTTTCTCCGGATTGATGCTAGAAACTTTAAAAGCTGATAACTGTTCAAATCTTTCCGGAATCCTGATTCAGTAGTTACCCGCGTACGCGTGGGGACGAAGATCAACTGATCAAGAGAGCAGAGAGCTCGCACTCCTCTGACTCCAATGCAACTTTGTTATTTTAGGTAGTTTATGACTTTATTCTCTTGTTTTCCAGGGTGATGGTGAAGAGTCGGATATAACCTTGGTAAACATTGAAATTACAGTAATGGCCTTAAGGAATATTCGAAGCTTGGGACACCCATCCTCAGCGTCCGCGTCCGCAGTTAATGTAAGCCTGTACTCTTCTAGGAAACGAAAATGACCGAGGTCTTCTCGGCTCTCGGCTCTCGCCTCTCGACTGTCGTCGTCGACTCACAATCACAGGCGAAATCGGTATCGACCACGGACCACCTACCTCCCTCTAGTGCGACCGTTTGAAGTCAAAATGGTTTCACTCTACACCCTTTTTAATTTGGATGTTTCTGATCGGATCACCCAGGAAGTGGAAACCTTCAAACAAAGGGATGATAATGGTATATGTATAATTGTATATATGTCCTCCTTTATCCGTCCGTGTATCGACCTTCCTCCCAATTGATGATAAGAAGGAAGATATTTTAACTTACCCACCTTATCAGGGCCAGGGGTTGTTAGGCAGCAGCTGAAATTTGTCCACAAACAGTTGGAATAGAAGATGGTGCAGGAAACACGTGAAAACCCTTTCTTTCTATCCGTCCCTGAACCGTTGACAGTTCTGTTTGAACCTAATCAGCAACATAACGATAAACGATACCTACCAGAAACATGTTTTGGCAGAGGCATGTGCGATGGTGTTTCTGGCAATCATCCCTTGTACAAAAATGAATTCACTGTTTGGTATTTTTGCTTGATCAGATTTCAACAAAAACGACTTTCTTTTCCACCTATGTTGAAATGTTGATACCGGCATACTGCAAACTTGTATTAAACGCTGTAACGAGGGAAAGAAAACGATACCAAACACCATCGTAAACGAAAATAGAGAAATTTGGACTCATACCACGTAAGACGTAACAAACATATGATCCCAAGTGAGATGGAACGCAGACTTTGAACTTGCCAAATGAACGTGGGGAGAGAGTCCCATCAAGTTCCATTTGAATAATTAAGTCTAAAGCATCACCTAGCTAGCTAACGACGCTTTTTTTGGTTTTTTGTATCTACCTAACGTTAACAATGACAATTTAAGAGGAATGCTAGGCTGTAATGCACGCGAAAGGTTGTCACCTGCCCACGCATGCCAAACAGCAGCATTAAGGGTTGGGTTGACTAGGGTTACCAAAATAACTCGTCATTTCCGAATCTGCCAAATTCTACCCTGTAATTTAGGTTGAGTATCAATTTAGTATCCGAATTTTAAAATGCGATAATCTATAGTATGTGACGTTTAATTTTGCCACGATTTTACCATAATTAAAAAACAAAAAGACTTAATTACCCATCATCTATTTTGATTATTGCATGATTTTCGATCGAAATTACAAAAATGACTCTAACTATAATTTCTCTTCAAGTGGGAGAGAAATTCCCGACAGGTACCCTGCTGCTGCTTCTCACACTGAGCAAATGCAAGAGTCAAGAGCTCATCGGAGAGTGGTTCCATGCTTCGAGGTGACATCCTACCCGGGGATGGAACACCAAAGTATGCCTGTAAGAGTGAATGAACAACGATTTTTGGGGAGAAAACATTCGTGTGTTGATTGGCGATGGCATGCTCTGTTGTTGCTGGAACTGGTTGAGAACCACTGATTTGTGAGATGGGGAAAAGACCGCTGACGCTGCCTGATCTGAATACCGGGACGACGGGGAGATTTCAGCAGTAAAGTGATCCTTAAGGTTTGAAGGGGTCAGGGTCTTGGAACGAACAGATCTGTTAACAGTGGACGAACTAATACGTGGCTGAGAGAAGCATGACAAATCATTCAGGAGTTGCTGTTGCTGAGCTTGGCCAGATACCGGGTGGTGTAAGTGGCCGTTCCGAGCCCTAGAAAAGACCAAATCCGATAGTTGTGGAAGGAAGGTATGAACACCATCGTCTCACAGCAAGCTCCGAAGATGTACGTCCATGTCCTCTTATCCAGTCGGTCGTTTATGTAATATATGTTGCTGCTCTCATCATCGAACCCACCATAGATCAGCTAATCAAATGAACGCTCTTGTTATTTGCAGGGCTTTTGGAACTGTGCAAAAGAAATGAAAACAGAAAAAGCTCACCTTGCGCAAGCTATTAGCTGTATAACAGACCCAAAGAGGAGAAATGTACAGCTGAAGGCCAGTCCCACAGCTTTACAGTATGGACCCAGTAATCCGTCAAGCACTTCGAACCACTGAAATGACAAATGGTAGTCAGTGGCTATGCTTTAGTGGAATTAATTAAGAAGGTGAAGTATGAATTTTCTACAACTCCTGATTTTCTTTTTTCGCTTTCTTTGATATGTTATTTTGGAAGGTTACCTGTATCACATGGTTCTTAAAGCTCGCGTTCTCCTTCTCCTTTCTACTTCGGTACTCAATGTATAGGACGCTGATGAGATAAGCAGTCCAGCTACTGACAAGGCCGTAGAATATCTAGAATAATATGCCTGAGAGCATTCCCAGCTGAGAGAACGAGTATGGCAACGTTAACAGCACCTGAGCTACCTGTAATGAAAGGCAAGATTGAATTTCCTCAGACAAGATTGAGCAAAGGAGCTAATGGAATTCATTTTTATTATCTGGGTCTTTGTGGGTTTTACTTGATTCGAAGCGCAACTGAACCAGGCGTCATAAACGGAGCCGCCATGCCAGAGGAGGCTCTTCACGTTAAACATGGACTGATCTGTCTTCTCCTCCTTTCCTTCATGCTCCGTCTCGTTAAAATTCGAGACAATCGCTTCTTCGGCTTGCTTATGTGGCAACATTTTCCCCTTATCTCCCAACGACGGAGATCAATTCCATCTAGATCTGAATCATAGAAATGGATGGTAAAAGAGACAAAATATTAGACTAAACCCCAGAAAATGAAAGCGGATATATAAAAACCAGGACCCAACAAAAGAAATTCCGTTCCTCCCAAGTTACAAGTTTCACGAAGAAACAACAAACAAGAAAGAGAAAAAGAGAATCATAAAAAAAAGGAGAGCTTTGGAAAAAGATCCGAAAACGATTTCAACAATGTTTTAGACGAACCAACGAGGAAGGAGAGACCCAATCAGCCAACCTCAGTGTGTTACCTTGTTCGTGAGGTCTTTGTCGGTTATGTAATTGGAGAAAGAAATTGAGGAGGCCCGTCTGTGTGTCTTCCCGCTAATCCGTCGCTTTTCTTTCTCCCTTTTCCTATATATGGGTAGACCTGTTCATGGGCCGGGTCGGGCCGGACTTTTACTCTTTATTAACAGAAAAATGTTAGGCCCGAGTTCGAGCTCGGCCCAACCAACGGACCTACAACTTGGGCCCAAGCCCGGCCCTGATAAAAAGTCCGAAGCCCGAGCTCAAAGCCCAACCTAATAAAAGAAATTCGAATTTTTTCTTATTCAAATGGACATTATCTATTTTAATTCAGATGTTTTTTTCCCTATTTAAATTAACAATGGGCTTACAAGTGAATCAACAACCTTTTTAAATCAAAAAAATTATTCAAGTGGACATCACATAGGGTTTTTACTTAAGTTTAACTATAGGTCGGGCTGGGTTGGGCTCGGGTCGGGCTACTTTGACAAAGCCTGAGCCCGGCTCAAATTTTATGTGGGCCGAGCTTTTTGGCCCGAGGTTAAGCCCACATGCCAAAAAGCCTGTTCAAGCCCGTCCGAGGGCCGGGCTGGCCCATGAACAGGTCAATATATGGGCAAAGCAAACCTTTTTGTTCAAATCGGGTTGAGACTTGAGACAACTAGTTTCTAACAAGTGTCAGAAGCTTTAATGCATGCAAAGAGACAATTGCGTTTTTACTAAATTTTGATGGGTTCAATTTTTATATACCTAAATTCTAGTTAATCTTATTTATTAAAATATAATATAAAAGTTTTTTAATTCATTTTATAATATGTTGATTGTACCATTCAATATCCTGCTACAGTCAAAAGTACATATACACAGGATCCAATGTGAACTCTTATGAGCGATTGGTAAGTAAACGAATTGACCCTGCCACGTCACATGTTCATTATCCATTCATGTTATTAGATGGTGTATACATGTTTATTACGAAGGGACGAGAGATCAATTATATGGACGGTCAGATCATGCAGGAAGGTTGAGCGAAATTTCAAAAATTTCTCTCTCACACATATGGGAATCATATTCTCTATTTTAGAAAACTGCATTTTTAATGATCAATCTTGAAACAAAACAGATCAGATCTGAAACCAAAAAGAGATGAGAGGGATATACCAGATTTGGAATAACAGTAACTCCCAACGAATGTGTTCATGCCTAAGTAGAAAACCAAAATCTGCTCCCACTAAAGATGACACAGTGTGAGGTGAAGCAGAATCAGTAGGAAGGCTCTTCAGCAAGAACCAAATTCTTCAACAAGAATGTAGTAAAGGGCTAGTGAGCACAACTTCAGATTGCCTCTTTTAGCAAGAAGCAATATCAAGAACGATTCTTGATCACTCTCACTGGTGGAGATCGAACTGGGTAGGGGCGGCAAGAACAGGGATAAAGGAGCAGAAGACATGAGCAGTCAAACTGTGTGTTGTCTTCTCTCTTAATTCAGCATACTGTGAGTGTATTTTGGAGGTTCGCCCTGCTCTTCTATTTATAGCCTTAAAGAGAGGTTCTCTTAATCCAAATCTTATATTTGGATCTGGACTCTCTTTAAGAGATAAGGATAATCCATTTTCTTATATACAGATAAAGATCAGCCTTCCTAATCAAATTAGAAATTTCCTTATCCAAATATTTATTTTGATATGGACTCTTTGAGTGGATAAGGATAGTCCCTTATCCTATCAACTGATCCAAATCCCATAACYGCCCCCTATTTAATTAATCTCATTAAGCCAATTCGAATGGACTTTAGACCCATTAAGTCTATGTGCTCACTTAACCTATTAACTTGTTGCTCAGTTGGCTACCCTTGTATGGCGTGGGACCCAAACATTGATCTACACATCAGCCACATGGGTTCAGCCTAGCCTTTGTTACAAGGGAGCTCGTCACCAGGTAGCTCTCCACCAGGGAGCTCATCACCAGGTAGCTCTCCACCAGGGAGCTCGTCACCAGGTAGCTCTCCACCAGGGAGCTCGTCACCAGGTAGCTCTCCACCAGGGAGCTCACCACCAGGGAATTCGCCACCAAGTAGCTCATCACCAGGCAGTTCGCCACCAGGGAGCTCCATCATCCTCTGAGTCACAGCCCACTTGGGAGAAGGTCAAATGACGAGGTACTTAGCCAAAAAATTGGTACGTGACCAGAAACGGTTACATCAATTGGCCCAGAATGAATAATTCGATGAGCTCGTAAGCGTCAATTCAGTGAAATTGTGACACCTGGCACTTGCTCAGCCCGGCACCTCACAGGCATCTCAGCACCTGGTCAGCCCAACACCTCACAGGCAGCTCGCCACTTGCTCAGCCCGGCACCTGGTTAGCCCGACACCTCACAGGCAGCTCGCCACTTGCTCAGCCCGGCACCTNGCCCGGCACCTGGTTAGCCCGACACCTCACAGGCAGCTCGCCACTTGCTCAGCCCGGCACCTGGTTAGCCCGACACCTCACAGGCAGCTCGCCACCTCATAGGCAGCTCGCCACCTAGCCTGCCCATCTCGACTCAGCTCGGTAGCCAAAGTTCTCCACTTCTGCCTGAGTCATCGACCACTTGGAAGCAGACCAAATGACGAGGTACTTAGCCCAAAAAGTTGGTCATCACCCAAAAATCAATTCATCAATTGGCGTCGTCTATGGGAACACGCTACAGAAAGCTAAGTTCTCATCCTACAAAATCTAAGTTCTCATCTTACAAAAGCTAAGTTCTCATCCTACAAAATCTAAGTTCTCATCTTACAAAAGCTAAGTCCTCTTCTCCTAGAAAGCTAAGTCCTCACTTTTTAGAAATTGAAGTTCTCGCTTTATAGTTTACATTTTTTATGAACTCAAAAACTACGCAGGGAACTAACAGACTAAGTTTACTTTCAATTCAGATAAAGCCTCATCAGTCCTCTTCGCAAGGTCCCCCGTACAAATATGAGCTCTTCGTGGCTTCCGCAGGAGTTGGCGGCCAACAGACTACATGGGCGCCCTTACTGGTCGAGCCTTCTAAGGCTCCCGTGTGAGCTGGCAACCTAAAGTTAGTAGTGCTGCCCCCGAAGGTCGAGCTCCTAGTAGCTTCTTGTAAGAGTGGGTGATCGGCATTACAAAGTTGATGCAGCGCAATCATAGTTCTAAGGCACCCACCTGGTCAACTCGGCACCTCATTGGTAGTTCGGCACCTGGTCAGCTCGGCACCTCGCAGGTAGCTCGGCACCTGGTTAGCTCGGCACCTCGTAGGTAGCTCAACACCTGGTCAACTCGGCACTTCACTGGTAGCTCGACACCTGGTCAGCCCGACACCTCACAGGTAGCTCGACACCTGGTCAGTTCGGCACCACACAGGCAAAGCCTACGGGCCACGTTACTGCTTAAGACCCGGTCGCCTCTTCGGCACGGGCAAAGTCAAAAAAGAGTGGACTACGAGTCACTCCCAAAAGCCTATGACCCACAATACTACTTAAGACCGAGTCGCCTCTTCGGCGCGGGCAAAGTCAAAGAAGAGTGGACTACGAGTCGCTCCCAAAGCATACGGGCCACATTACTGCTTAAGACCCAGTTGCCTCTTCGGCATGGGCAAAGTCAAGAAGAGTRGACTACGARTCGCTYCCAAAGCCTAYGGGCCACACTATTGCTAAATACCCAGTCGCTTCCTCAGCATGAGCAAAATCAACAAAAGTGAACTATAAGTTGCCCCCAGAGCCTAAGGGCTACACTACTGAATTGGCAGAGACCTCCTCACCTTACAGGTAGCTCACCACATACAGGCTGCTCCCAAAGCCTAAGGAATTGGATCAGCATTTACTAGCTCGTCGACTTACGGGCCAAAAGAAGAAATCTACTCCCTTCGTTGAGTTACTCTCAACTCAGGAGTGGGGGGCAAATGATGAGGGTGGATTTGGCCCTCCAGTGAAATTGTGACACCTGGCACCTCATGCAAACCAAGTGCAGCCTCTTGACAACTAGGCAGCTCGAGAAGCTCGGGTAGCTCGACAGAGTTTGCCACAGCTCGGCACTTATAGACAGCTCGGCATGGCTCGCCACAGGCAGCTCGGCAGAGCTCGGCATAGCTCGGGGAGCTCGGTATAGCTAGGGGCAGCTCGGCATAGGCAGCTCGCCACAGGCAGCCTGGCATCTTATGAAGAGCTCGCCACTTAGGGGCAACTCGGCACTTACAGGTAGATCGGCATAGGTGACCCCCAAAGACAACGGGGAGATAATGAAAAAAT